TTTCATTTTCTTCCTAAGCCACAAATAGCAGATGTTATCTATACTACAGGTCAAATTTGAATTAACATAATAAACCTGAGGGCAGAGATTTCACTTTGGTGCAATTGGTACTTCCAGTGCAAGTTCAGACCAACATCTGTCAGTTTGAAAAGTGCTCTTTTTCTTCCAATGTTTCTACTGAAACTTATTTATATACAACTGAATATAAAATCTGCCATGACCCAGCATAATCAGGAGGTATTTTATAAGATAACAGAGTGTGAAGCTGGAGGAACACAGCAGGCCAGGCGGCATCAGAGGAGCAGGAAAGCTGACGTTTTGGGGGGGGGGACCCTTTTTCAGAAATAAGGGTATCAACTCTACTCAGTTCTACTTTTGTCAGTCTCTCCACGTGAATTATATAGATTATTTAAATCGTGCAGTGTCCTAATCATTTGCAAGTTGGTTGTTCTTCTGGTATCATCTTGTTCCTACGGTGATGTTTGTGACGATGCTGTCACTTTAAGAAGTTATTTTGTCTTGGTTGTAAGGCAGAGGCAATAAGCTGTCTCTTAGAAAGTAAACAATTTGTGAGGCCTTGGGTTTTTTTAAAAGTTGGAAATATGGAAGCTGCCTGGGTGTGGCCTGCTCTTACAGACCAGGCTTTCTAGTTTTTTTTAGTCTTTAGACTTAGTTTTGAGCAGAAGCCTTTGAGGTCTCAAAAGAGTTGGAAGCTTCAGTGAATGTCTCCCAGCTGCTATTCTCTTTGAATCTTCTCTTCATGTTTTTTCCCTCCTGGATTCTTGTGAGAATCTGTGTCTGAATTTTCCTTCTTGCCAAGGGGTACATTTATGGGAATGTTACTACACTGGAACAGTTAATTAGTAAACAGTTACTATATCTATTATTCGGTTAAGTTTCCAATCTGTTAAGTTATCCTAAATTCCTCTTTCTTTGGTTATATTTTAACTATAGTGTTTAAATAAATTGTTTTGCTTAATATTGGGTAGTTTGAGCAGCTGTATTGCATCTGGAACACAGTACTTCACACCTACCTTTAAAATAAGAAAAATGTTAGAGTCTGGGCTAGCTTCTTAAAACGTATCGAGGGGGTCTGGTCTGGTCCATAACATGGTCCTCCTGTAGGGAGTGTCAGTCTCATGGTAACTGTTATTGCAGATCCATTTCTGTTGATTCAGTCTTAAGTGGACCTCTGGGACTGATGGTCATTCTATATTTTGCGCAGGTAATGAGACCACTTCTTCCTGTTCCACTGCCTGCAGTGAAGGCACAGCTTCTCTACTTGTATATACATGTCCAGGATTGTGATAATATATCTGGTTGTTCACATTTACTGTGAATGATCAAGGTAATAACATGTTAACACAGGTGCCAAGTTGTTACATGGACTGACTCTTTTTGAGAGCATTAAGCATTTGCACTCTGATTAGCGCTCCTATAACCAGATCTGGCAATGACTTGGCAGCTTTGTCAAGGTGAAATTTAGCTTTCTGTTGTTTCACCTTGATTACTCATGCCTGTTATTACTTTTGGCTTCTGTAGTTTTTTTCACTAATGGACAAGTAGTTTGAGTGCAGTTACGGTAGTCTTCGGACTGGACTATTTTCCATGCCTTCAGTGTTGTCTACTTCTGCACATCTGTGCTTGATTTGCTCAGCTCCTTTGGCAATTTTCACTGTTGCCAAAGCCACTTCATTTGACTGGGGATAGTGTGGACATAATATATAGTTTTGAATTTCCCAACTCTCTATGAAGCATCTTCATCGTTTACTCTTGAATTGAAGGGCATTGATGTTCATCACAATGTCTGAATTGTTGTAACAGCTGGCGTGTGCTTTTAATCTTTTTAATATTTTAGAAATTCTAGGATTTATTTTTTATTCTGTCCAATCATCTGACCTGTCAACCATATTTACACACTTACTTACTTTTCCAAAGACAATGATGACCATCGACATCAGCTAGTCCAACTGCTAGTAGTCAGAATAGTAGCCAAAAGTGACAAGATAATCAGTCCCTATGAGCATGAAGACATCTACTTCAAACTTCAGCATGATCTGTTGGGATATCATCCATCGCAAGCAGCTCTTTAAGTTGCTTAGAGATAAGAAGAACTGCCAATGCTGGAAGCAGAGATAACACAGTGCAGAGCTGGAGGAACACAGTAGGCCAAGCAGCATCAGAAGAGCAGGAAAGCTGACGTT